ATTTGGAACAGACTTGAAATGATGGTGTAATTCTTGATTCTTTTTTGCCATCCATGGATCCGAATACTCAATCATGGAACTACAACCACCAACTATTAGTATCCGCCAAATCCAACCACGATCAATATCGGTTATATCAAAAATAATGGTTTGTCATACTCTGACTTGGATGCAGACCCATCTTGCATTGAAATAAGCTCAGTATCAGCACACTGCGGAAAAGACCCATCAGTCTCCAACTCGGAAGCCTCGATTTCAAAACTTTCGTCTTCAGATGACGCAGTTGCAGTGGTTTGATTAATTGTTATGCTTTCGCGAGGTTTTTGTGTTTTGAGCTGATGGAGTGTTTCGCCTCCATCACTCTCATCTTCACTACTGGGCTCAAACGGTTCTATGTTGGTGACGTCTATCGGGATAGACGCAGCTCCATTTGCCAATGCAACTGATTTTGCACTGTTGATTGCTGTTATCCATTGGTTCATATCTTGCTCGGTCTCAGCTTGCAAAACAAATGTGGATCTAGGTAGTCAGTTCAGGCTGGGTTGGTTAATATATTAAATAACGATACAATAATATACAAATGCATACTTTGAAGAGGTCTCCACTTCAAAACAGAAACGACGATCTTCCAACTTGGAAACTCGAACATTGCACAGTGCAACACTCAAGGCAGTGGTTGCCATTAGTTTCCCTTTGTGTTTTCCACTTGTGGCGACAATACTGTATGATATCATGGCATCCTTGAGTGAAAAATACCGTCGGGTCCATACTGATCCACCCGAATTAGATTTTCTAAACAAATATCCCTCGCGCTCCACTACGACTAGAGGGCGGGATTTTGACAGAGATTGCCGATTTGGTAGTTTGGAATGGTCAGTGGATTCTTTTAGACGTGGTTTTGCCGACTCGATTGCAAACTATCGCGGTTGAAACTGGCTGTTAGATTGATGCACAAGCATATGGATCTGATGTTGGACCATGTGTGGCTTACCTCTTCAAACTCATTCTTGACGGTTTCGAGTCGTTTGATGGTATCGCTACTCATTGCTCGTGCCTATTTAGCCGAGTCAGCCATCAGAATGACAGTTTAAATGCTAATCTAATACACTTACATTATCGAGTTTTTGGCGCAAATCTTGGGAAGCAACTTCAATTCCGTGGAATAAATCCCATCCTGCTTCAAAATAGTCTGTGTGGACTTTGATCAATGCCATCAAAATATCCGGAATATGTATATCCAGCTTATACTTTAGCATGATGATTTTTGATACGTAGCTGATGGATGCTTTTATAAAGGGTTTTCTGGCTTCGTACAAAATAAATGCATCCTAAATACATCCAGTCAATAGGCAAGTATTGGTGATGTGTATGCAACTGTATCCAAAGACTACCTCTAAAAGCGCACTTGACTCTTTTGATTTGGGCAATGCAGCATACTTGATGGTTGCAGCCTCGAATTTCTCGACACTTTTTTCATAATCCAGCCTTGCTTCCTGGTCCGATCGATTGATCAGCTTTATAGTGTGATTTAAAAACGCCATGCAAAGCATACTGTCAAGCGTACCTTGATATTTTTGATATCCTTGAACAATACATTTTGAATGGTGCTGATTACACCTTCATGCATTCCCTCGAGCTGCGTGTTTAGTTGTAATGATTAGCTTCATGCTTGTGTACATTCAAACCCATTTATCCAACTAAGCACTTGAAAAAGA